CTAAACAAAAACATTTTTTAATTAACATATTTTTTATTTGTTTTACCAGCACATCATTGGTCAAAGTTAAAAAGAGCCACATGTTACACCAACAATGAATTTTTGACTCTGTTTGTGTCACCAGATTTTACAAACAATATCAGACCTATGAAATAAGTAATTGCACCATTTTTGGATAAATGTGCAATTATATTGTTTTGTATTTTCAATTGTTGAATAATTATGTTGTAGAACAAACTCAATCTGTTTAGCCAAACAACATAATTTGTTTGGTTAAATAGTGGATTTGTATAATTTTAGTCTATAAGTACAGCAAGCTGAATTCATACAAACACACAGCTCTAAATCTTGAATTGTAGGATGCACAATAATGATCATTTAATTATTATGGACATTTAAATCAGAATCTATTGAACCATTACACATATTCTTTATAGAGATTACACAACCTCAAAATGCGAAAAACAAACAAACAAGTGTTTAAGAGGATAAATAAAGAAAGCTCAAAGTGTGTTCGTATGAATACTGCCTTAGTATGGGGTGTCAGTAAGTACATGAGTATAGAATAGGTGTAACAGTGGTTTTCCACATCTGTGCTTAGACTGCTCTAAAAATATATAGATAATGGGTCAGACATATAGTTTGACCCATTAAGTCTATTTGAAAAGTTTATGAAGGTCATGCAGATCACACGCAGTCAGATGTGTTTCTGTTTATCATTTTATGAGGTCACACAGCTGATATGAGTTTTGATCACAGTAGAACCATAACATTCATGTTAATGAGTCTACTGTTTCCAGCTACTTTATGATAAATTTTATCCTGGTCACAGCACTATGTTAAAAGCTGTAAGAGGTAAAGTTAACCCAATTAATACCTGATCATAAATCACTCTCTAACACAGGGCAGTGATTATTTTTCAATGTAATTTATTCCACAGCAATGTTCTTTATTTGATCCCTGTTTCTTTAAATATGTGCATCAATTGTTCAGCTGTGTGACTCTCCATACCTGAAATATATCACAATGTGAACTTCATTTCAACAATATTCTGTAGTTTATCATCAAATCAGGAAAGCTAAACTAAAACTAAACTAAATGGAAAAAAAGAAGCTCTTGGGAGTTTTAATGAAGTTGTAATGTTATTTATCCTTGCCATACGGGATGTGCACACAACTCCAGCAAATCAAAGAATATATTTTGTCTCTCATTTCCTGTTTATATATGTATATATTTTTGCAGTTAATAGCCTATCATGTGTCTGCGCATCTTAGGGCCATAAATGTAAACATGGCAAACAAGGATGTATTCACAATTCCAACGGATGCTTCAATTGTTTGTATAGATTTTGGATTAATTTGTAATGTAATTAATGTAAATGAATGTAACTATGTAAAAATCGTGTTTCTGTTCTGTGTCCTGTTCTGTTTGTATATGTGTGTGTGTGTTTTCTTTTTTTTTGTGCTGCTGATACAACCAAATTTCCCCTTGTAGGACAATTAAAGGATTATTATATTATATTCTATTCTCATTGATATCATGTCTACCCAGAAATCTCAAGTTCATCATTTTGCGTTTCCACAATTATTTGAATAAAAAATTAAAAGAGCAGGAATGTTAAAATGAATATTTATTAGATTTTCAAAACAGTTAATTATGGTACAGGGCTAGATTCTAATGAACAGTCTCTACTTTATAATAAAAAACAAACAGAATAATTATTTTATATACCTGTGTATATAAATTTACACAAAGGTCTTCATCTTAATATATACTTTATAATAAAAATAAAAGCATACACAAAAAAGAGAGCCAGATATTTTATATTTTTGAACAAACAAACAAGTAACAAACAAAGGAACAAATGAATACATTTTTTAAATTATTCAGTGTTTTTTTTTAATCTGCATAATTTGCTTCCCCTTAATTTGAACTTTTACCCTGACCGCTGCCTCCTCAAGTTCATTGTCAAATGGTGTCCAGAGCTCACTGTTGATGAAGAGGCTCTGCCCATCATCCAGAAGAACCTCAAGCTGGTTCGGCTCGTCACTCATGGCCACACCAACGATGAGGACCTCCTCTCTGTCCTCTACTTTTGTCTGTTGACAAAGCATAAGGACATATTTAGCCCTGAATTCTTTTTTATCCAAAAAGAAAATCTATGGTCATCATGTGGTTTCAGTAAGTCACCAAGACCATACAATTGTTTTATTACCATTGTGTGTATATGTATGTGTTACATTATGCATTATATGATGCATGATCAATCATGCAGGTAATTAAATCCCAAAGACGTCTTTGGAATATGTTCATCTGGACTTCTATATATATGTGTGTGTGTGTATATAAGATAATATGATATATATATATAATTATTATTATTTCATATTTTGACCCAGACTGAAAGAATATGTAGTTACATTTCAAAACCTAGTTCTAAACATTTGTTGATAAGACAATGCTGTGAAATATTGGTACAAAGGTTTAGCTTCTTCATACCTGAACCTTCGTATAAGTAGTGCTGTGCAGCTGTGGCCCATATGCGGTGCGGTTCAGCTTCATGTGGGAGAGGTTAATCTGGTCTCCCACATTAAAGGTGTGAATTCCTGCCTCCCTCCAGAGGCAGACTGATATGGTATAACCATCCTGAAATCACAAATATGACAGAATTATAGATTTATTAATTAAATAATCCAAAATCGAGTAACTAGAAAAAGAAAGCCCACAGCCTCATACACTCTGCTCATGTACCAGCAATGTTAAATTTGTCACATTAGTTTAACCAATTTCAATATAAAACTAAAATTGCATCATTACCTCCTTTAGCTGGAGATTTAGCAAGGGAACGTGCTGTTTTCCTGACACTACGTCCTTTATTGCAGAAAACTGAAAAGTAAATTTAAATAAAATATCAATAATAGTTAGTGTATTGATATGTGGTAGGTTTTTATTTCTTCAGTAAGATTTTTAGATTATATTATTGCTGTTATTAAGTATTCTTCATTGAACTTATCAGAAGCAGTTTATTAGGATGTTTTTCATGATTATGAAAC